GGTGTGTGTGTGTATATATATATGTGTGAGTGTGTGTGTGTGTGTGTGTGTGTGCATATACATATATATATATATATATATATATATATATATTTCAAGAAATAGGGCCACCCTAAAAAAATACTGCCAAATAAATACAAACAAGTACTGAATTAATAATTACCTTGTGTTTCTTTGCTTGTTAACAGGCATATAAAATGATCACTGCATTTTAATCAAATAATTTAAACACTCATTTAAATACTTACTGGTATACTATTATAAACTAGCACGAGGTTTATAATGAAGAAAAAATTTTAATTAAATCTTTATATACTACCTGCAACTGTTGAATGCAAGTATCCTAAGATACTATAATTTAATGACCTTGTATAAGGGAAAAGCTGCCTGCCATGGGAACTTGGCCATTGGATACAACACATTATTAATATCCGCACAGTAGTAACACAGCATCTGAGACACTGCTCAACCAAGCAAACCACATTCAGTTCCTTCTTCACATTCCTCCCTGCAATTTCATAACTAGAAAGGGAGGATCTGTGGCAGAACCTTGTGAAAGAGGGCAGTAGCTCTAGGCAGTAACTCCCTGTCACAGAGACTTCTTTAATCATTCATGGAATCTTGCCTCCTCTTTCAGTACTTACTTGAGAAACCAAAGAGCTATAATTAATACCCAAGAAAAAATGTTAGTCCTTACTGATAGATACAAAGCAACGCAGAGGTATTAGTGTTTAACTTTGTATTCAAATGATATTTTAAAAAAAGAAACAAAGAAACAAAAACCTGTGTTTAAAAAAAAAAACTTACAAAAGGCCAAAGTTCTTTTAAATATAGCAACTTTATACTATATAGTAACTTTATATAGTTATATAGTAACTTCATATATCCAGGAAATAACACTGAGACAAATATGCAAAAAAAAATTTTTTTTTAATTAAAAAAGCTATTTAGTGCATGGTTCTACCTACCTTATGCAGGTATGCTAAGAACCTCTATCCATCCCTTAGAAGAGAGGATTGGAAAGTTTTCAAAATGATTCATCAAGATGAAATAAAATACAGATAAATGAAAGGCAGATCACTCATCTGCAATACTGCTGTGAGTAGGGAAAAAAAACAGCACTGAATTGAGAATAAGAACTTTTGAGTTCTATGTTCCACAGTTAAAATAAAAATTGGACATGAATTTTGTTTTCTCTGTATGTTTAAAATAGTCATTAAAACCAGAGTTAAAGTCCCCTCCTAACCTGCCATTCAACCTTATCTCTAAGAGAACAGAAGTCCAGAACTCTAACATAGCTGTCTCTAGGTATAAAAATTCACCCACATACAGGATACCGGGCCTTTTGGATACTTCAGCTTCTCCCTTTCTCTAGAAAACCTCCTCCAAGGATTCAATAAAGGCACACGTTTAGTTGAAGAACAGAAAATGCAAAGGCTCTCTGCTCAGTAGCTACCTCCAATTTTCATTTAATTAACACACAGTATTGGGCTCTGGGGACGGATGAGGAGATGCTAAATCTATTTTATTTTTTTTAAATAAAAACTCTCTATCTACCTATCTATAATTTTTTGTCGATGCCGCGCGGCTTGCGGGACCTTAGGCTCCCCGACCAGGGCTCCAACCCGGGCACCCGCAGTGAAAGCGCCCAGTCCTCACCACTGCACCGCCAGGGAAGTCCCCAAAACTGTATGTATTTAAATAAGGTATATAACATCACTTGATAAGTTCAGGGTTTACAAGCATAGCAATCAATGCACAGCACCCGCAACTCGCCCCAAAGTTGTTCCAGTTATATTACCTTGAGAGAGGATTTAAATAATGTGAGGTGCTTTCTACTGAGTCAGTGGGTAGGTCCTGACGCAGGACCTTCAACATCAGTTGGCCTGTCTTCTGCTTGGCAGGGCTGGCCACTAAGCCAGTTTCTAGACAGCCTTTTCAGGAGTCTGCTCTTCCGTAGATCAGCTTTTCTCCGGTCACTCCACCCAACCACCCTGCTCCTCCCTGCTCCTCTGAGTGTGAGAGATAACCGAGTCTCCTTCCCAGAGCCGCTGCCTTTCTTAACGCCATGCCATTTTTTTAAATACTGCTTTTTCCAGGCCGATGGCACCTCTTCGGCTGCATTTCTCCTTATAATTGTTGGTATACACGAAGACCCATCCTTTCATAACAGCTCAGATCACACAAGTTTACTTTTCCCCACTGGAAACTTTTTTAAGAGTTCTGGAGACTTGCCCAGCCCTCCCCTGCCCACTCGACGCCCCAGCCCCTTAGCCAGAAGAAATCCAGAAGAATGGCCCTGCGCGGACCTCCGATGAGAAAACTGTGGGGTGGGGGGGCGGTCCTCGGGGAAGCGTGTCCATCTCCGGCCACACAATCATTGCAACCCTCGCCATTCGGCGCCCAGGTTCTCTTTGCCTCTAATATCCGCGCACCGCCTCCCTCCCGCCAGGCGCACAGCAGGCGCCGCATCAATGCAGATCCCATTTACCCTCGGCGACACCCACTCGCAGGGCCGCTTCCTTTCTCTTCGCTCCAGGGCTTGGCCCCGGCTCACTGTTCTTCCTCAGACTCATTAGACGCTTCCTCCCGAACCTCTGCCTCTCCGCAGCCCCCGCGCGCTCACCAGCAACCCTCACCCCTCGTCCCATTCCTCACCGATCTCTTTCTCGTTGACCCTCGGGGGAAAGCTGGCCATCTATGGGGCACCGTCTGATTCCGGGGGCGCGATGCGGACGCAACGACAGAGAAGGGAAAGGCGAGCGCCGAGGGGCGTGACGCGGGCTGGGTCCCTCCCGGTCCCGGGGACGGAGGGGAGGGGCGGGGCGGTCGCGGCGGCTTCTGCCGACTGCCCCGGGAAAGCTCCGGAAGGCCTCGGACCAAACTACGGAGTCAAACACAGACAACAGATGCTGTTCCCTTTCTCACGCCTACGGACCAAGACGCTCCCCTCCACAAAACCGACTGCAAACGAGACACTGGAGACAAAATGGCGCGTGCCGCGGGGTATAGCAGGGCAGCGGGGGCGGGGCCTCGTGACGTCACAGAGCGATGGCCAGCCTCCCGACGTTCGGGACGTGACGGCCTCGGCTCGGCGCCCCGCCTTCTCTCCGGGTGCGCGCGGGCCTTGTTCTGGGGACGCGAAAG